CTGGCCTTGACCCTCCAACGTCCTGGCCACTAGCCACACCCCAAGACCCTCCATTCATCTGACTCCCAGGGCAAACACAGAACCACCCACTGGCCTGATCACCAGTGCCAGCCCAGGAATCTCCACTAGACTGGTCCCTGGGCCCCAGCCTAGAATCTCCAACAGCCTGGTCCCCAGCATCAGCCCAGGACCCTCCGCCACTGGCCTGATCCTCAAATATAGGCTTTGGCCCACCACTAGCTGGATGCCCAGCCCCAGTCCAGGACCCTCCATTGGCCTGGTCCACAACCCCAACCAAGAATCCTCCACTGATTTGATCCCCAGAGTTAGCCCATGACCTTCCACTGGACTGGTCTTCAGGCCCCAACTTGGACCCTCCACCAGCCTGGCCACTAGCCCCAGCCCAAGACCCTTCTTCAGTGGTCTGGTTTTCAAATCTAGGCTTGGACCCACCACCAGACTGATCAAGTGTCCCAGCCCAGGACCCACCACTGGTCTGATCTACATGGCCCAGCCTAGACCCTCCACTGGCTTGGTCTACAGTGTCAGCCCAAGACCTTCCACTGGACTGTTCCTCAGGCTCCAACCTTGACCCTCCACTAGCCTGGCCACCAGCCCCAGCCCAGGACCCTTCTCCACTGGCTTGATCCTCAAATCTAGGCTTGGACCCACCACCAGATTGATCGCTAATCCCAGCCCAGGACCCTCCACTGGCCTGATCCACAACCCCAGCCCAGTATGAAACACTACTCATATTCCCAGCCCCAACTACAGCCCAAGACCCTCCACTGGCTTGGTTCTCAGCCCCAGTCCAGGACCCTCCAATGGCCTGTTCCCCAACCCAGGACACCCCACTGGCCTGTCCCCCAGGCCAGGACACCCCGCTGGCCTGTCCCCCAGGCCAGGACCCATCACTGGCCTGACCCACAGCCCAAATTTCTCCAAAGGCCTGATTCCCAGCGACAACCCAAGCCCCCCCGCTGGCCTGGTTCTCAGCCACAGTCCAGGCCCCTCCACTGGCCTTATCCCCAGCCCAGGTCCCCTCACTAGTCTGACCCCCCACCCAGAGGCCTCCACTGGCCTGCTCCCCAGCTCTAACCCAGGTCCCAATACTAACCTCATTCTCAGCCCTGGCCCCAGCCCAGGACTTAACACTGGCCTCATCACAAGCCACAGCCCAAGAGCTAATAATCCCAGCCTTATCACTAGCCCCACTCCAGGACCCAGTACTGGCTTCATTCTCATCATCAGCCCAGGACACACCATTTTCCCAGTCTCCATCCATGGTCTGAAACCTAAATTTGATCCACCGCTCAGCAGCTATCCAATCCTCAACACCAATCCCATTCCAGTAGTAGTCATGGATGTCAGGCTGAGTCTTTCTGCAGGCTTGAGCGCCTGACCCGCCCTCACTCTCAGAAGTGGGCATGGCCTCGGCCTCAGCCTTTGCATAGACCTCATCTTCTGCTGTTGCTTCTGCCTCAGAACTGGGCATAGCCTTGTCCCTTGCCCTAGGCAAGGTCTCACCCTGGGAACCGGTGACAATCTGAGGCTGGGCAGAGTCCCGTGTGCCTGCCCCAGTCCCTGCTTTAGATACAGCTTTGGTATTGCCCTTGACCTTATTCCTGGCACCAAGCAGGGTCTCACGCTGGGTATTAGCCACAGCTTGGGGCTGGTCAGATCCCACTGTATCTGCCCCAGCCTCTGCCTTAGGCACAGCACTGGAATTGCCCCTAACCTTATTTTTGGCCCCAGGCATGACCTTACCATGAGAACTGGCCACAACCTGGACCTGGACAGAGCCCATTATGCCTGACCCAGCCTCTGCCTTAGAAATAGCATTGGAATTGCCCTTAACCTTATTCCTGGCACCAGAAAATGTCTCATGCTGGGAGTTGGCCACAACTTGAGGCTGGGCAGAGCCCGTTGTATCTTCTCTGGCCCCTGCTTTAGACACAACATTGGGATTGCCCTTGACCTTATTCTTGGCACCAGGCAAGACTTCACCCTGGGAACCGGCCGCAGCTTGAGGCTGGGCAGAGCCTGTTGTATCAATCCCAGCCCCTGCCTTAGACACAGTATTCCAATTTCCCCTGACCTTATTCTTGGCACCAGGCAAGGTCTCACCCTGGGAATTAGCCACAGCCTGGGACTGGACAGAGCCTGTTGCACCCATCCCAGCCTCTGCCTTAGACAGAGCATGAAGATTGGCCTTGACCTTATTTTTGGCACTAGGCAAGACCTCACCCTGGGAACTAGCCACAGCCTGTGGCTGGGCAGAGTCCGTTATATATGGCCCAGCCCCTGAATTAGGCATGGTAGTGGGATTGCCTCTGACCTTATTCTTGGCACCAGGCAAGACCTCACTCTGGGAATTGGCCACAATCTGAGGCTGGGCAGAGCCCATTGTATCTGTCCCAGCCCCTGCCTTAGACACAGCATTGGAATTGCTCTTGGCCTTATTCTTGGAATCAAGCAAGGCCTCACCCTTAGAACTGGCCACAATCTGAAGCTGAGCAGTGCCCATTGCACCTGCCCCAACCTCTGCCTTAAGCACAGCATTGGGATTATCCTTTACTTTATTCTTGGTACCAAGCAAGGCCTCATCCTGGAAACTGACCACTGCCTGAGGCTGGGCAGAGTCTGTTGTACCTTCCGCAGCCCCCACCTTAAGCACAGCATGGGGATTGCCCTTGGCTTTATTCTTGGAGGCCTCACCCTGGGGATTGGCCACAACCAGGGGCTGACCACAGGCCCTCTGGTCCGCCTTAGTTCCAGCTTTAGAAATGGCATTAAGATTGCCCCTACCATCAACCCTGGAATCAGGCAAGGCCTCAGCTGGGGTCTTGGCCCCAGCCTGAGGTTGTGCACAGTTTTTCATGTCCATCCCGGCCCCTGTCTTGCACTTGGCTTTGGCTTTGGCCCTAGACTTACCTCTAGTATTAGGTAAGGCTTCACCCTGGCTCTGGGCCATACCCTGGGCCTTCATATCCATCCCAGATCCTTCCTTGGGCATGCTGTTGACATTGCCCTTGACCTTAATTCTGCCATCAGACAAGGTATTAGCCTGAACAATGGCCACAAGCTGAGGCTGTGTACAGGACAACATGTCTGCCCCATCCTCCATCTTAGCCATAACACTGAGATTGCCTCTGCTCTTATCTCTGGCATTAGGCAAGGCCTCAACCTGGGAATTGGCCCTCAAGTTTGTCCTGGCCCCTGCTTTAGTTATGGCATTGGGATTGCCTCTTTCCTTAACCTTGGCATCAGACATGACCTCAGCATGAGGACTGGCAACAGCTTGAGGCTGAGCAGCAGCTCTCATGTCAGCTCCAGTTATTGCCTTAGATATGACATTGGTATTTCCCCTGCCATCAGCCCTGGCACCAGACATCACCTCAGCCTGTTTCTTGGCCACAGTCTGAGGTTGCATACAAGTTCTCACATCTGCCCCTGCCCCCACCTTACACATAGCATTGGTGTTACCCTCAGCATCAACCTTTGCCCCAGGAATGGCCTCAATCTGGGTTTTGGCAACAATCTGAGGCTGAGCAGAAGCCCTCATGTCTGCTCCAGGCTCTTCCCAAGACATGGTTTTGCAGTTCCCCATGTCCTCAACCCTAGCACCAAGCATGTCATCACCCTGGATCTTGGTCACAGCCTGAGACTGTGCACAGGACTTCATGTCCACTCCAGCCACCTCCCTGGACATGCCATTGGGATTTCCCCTAGCATCAACTGTGGAACCAGGCCTGGCCTCAGACTGAGTCTTAACCACACTCACAGTCTCTTCCAGAGCTCTTGTCTTGGTTTCTTCCACAATTCCAGTGTTGTTCGTGGCCCCCATCTTGGCCACTTCCCCAGGTACTGCCAAGGTCTCACTCTGTGTAACCATTACTCTGTTAATCTCTGCCTCTTTTTCAGCCAATATATGAGTTTCAGCTTTGGTCTGAGTCATTGCTTCTCTCTTGGCCTCTGTCTTGGAAACCAATGCCCAAGCTTTAGCTTTGGTCTGTGTCACTGCTTCTTTCTTAACTATTTTGCCAGCCTCAGCATCAGTTTGGGTCACTGCTTCTTTCATGGCCACTTCCCTGGCTTTGGCCTTGGCCTCAGTCAGAGTCACTGCCTCTGTCATGACCAGTGTTCCAGCCACCACTTTGGACTCAGATTGAATCTCTGCTTCTGCCCCAATCATTGCCTTGGCCTGAGAGCTGGCTTTGTGTCTGGCTATAGCAGTGGCCTTGGTCTCTACTTCAGCCCCAGGCCCACCTCCTGCTCCAGTTTCTGCTTCAATCTCAGCCTGGGATTTAGTCTCAATCTCTGCTTCACCTATGGCCAAGGTCTGGTTCTGTACCTCAACCACAGTTTCCATCTTAACCGTGGATTCATTTCTGGCAAGTGTTCTCACACTCTGGGATCTTCCTTTGGTTAATTTGTAAATATAGTAGCAGGTGCCAGCCCAGATCACCAGTCCTGCAGTCACCCAGCCCACTTCCTGAATGCGGCCCATGTAATCACCCTTGCTGAAGGCACAAACAAGGTATGGTAGAGTGTACTCGGGCTGGAGTAAAGAGAGTGGTAGTTGTGGATGTAGGCCTGTGTGGGTGCTGGTCTTCAGCCACTCAAAGGCCACTACAGCTGCCACTGGAGGTGGACCTAGAAGTGGAGGAAGGAAATGGACTAAAATTTCTCTTCTGATTTTGTTGCATTATACAGATAGATACACAGAGGAACAGAAAAAGGTAGAATCACGTGCTTGGTGGAAGAGAGGATGATTAGCAGACTCTCCATTCCTCTTATTTCATCTTCTCTCCACCTTCCCCAATGCCCAATTATTTTCTTCCAAGGTACATCTATACACATTTCCATACATCAAATGAACAGTGGGAAGGATGGAAGGAGGTCTGACAATAAATGGGAGCAACTGAGAAGCCCCAGACTTTGATTTCTACTGGACCTACTCCAGTCACCAGTCTACAGGGTCCCACCCTAATACTAACCTGTAATGATCCGAGGTAGTTCCTTCCTCTCCTCTTGCTTCTCTTGGCAATACACCCTGAAGTAGATATATAAATTCATTAGATCTTTGGCTCTAGAGACAGACAGACAGATGGGGGGGACAGACGGGAGTAGAGAGTTTGTTATTGATAGGACAGGCATATTATTAGCAAACTACCTTTCTACACTTCTCAGTCCACCCCAATCCCCAAGATGCTGTCACACTCTTTACACTGTACCAGAGTTAAGGTGAGGATATGGAGTAAGTGACAGGGATGGTGAAAAAGATGGCTGGAAAAGAAGAGGCTGAGGATCCTCCTAACTGGTCACTGGTCCTTACTGGATGCAAACTGGTCTCCATCAACCCACCCTAGAGGTCTACCCAGGCAGTCCCCAAATTCTTACCAGTCTATACTGATCAGGAGCAATCTCCTCCTTGTTTCTTTGCTTCCAGTGATCTCAAGTCCTGCAGTAGACATGCAGGCAGATCTATGGACAAGTAAACAAAGAGTAGGTAATGGAAACTGAGTCCCTGGTAGAACAGACAAGTACCCTGATTTATGACCCCAATGTCTGCCTCACCAGAGCCCAGGTTCAATATACTAATGTGTATCATCTCATGGTCCCCACCTCAAGTCTTCTCCCAGTCATACTCTAGCCCACCCTTACCCCAGTATTCCTATCATTTCCTGCACTGAAATTCACAGGAGGCGTGGCAGCACTGCAGCAATCCAGCACTCCACTGAGACCCTCTTAAATCTCAGTCACCTTGTATTCCCACCTTCTCTCGTCATCCCAAGACTGCCCCTGCTTCACACCAACCTCCATGTTTCTAGATTGGTCTCCTCCTTTTTCCCTTGCTTCCAGTGGTAGACAGCCTTACTGCAGGCCTATGGGAAGACCTTGGAACAGATGGAGAAAAAGAAGACAGTGGATGTTAAGTACTTGTGACACTTTACCATCTAAAACATGGGTCCCTGTACCTGCCTATCTGGATTTAGAGATCCATTTCCTGGCAGAAAAAGGCCTGGGGCTTCCCCAGCACTGAAATGAAAAGGATGGAAAAGGGAGGCAGGAAAAGTAAAAGGCAACAGGGGCTATTTTATTTTTTATTTATTTATTTTGAGACAGGGTCCCACTTTGTCACCCAGGCTGGTGTGCAGTGGCACGATCATGGCTTGCCTCAGTCTCGACCTCCCAGGCTCAAAAGATCCTCCCACCTCAGCCTCCCAAGTAGCAGGGACTACAGACTGTGTCACCATGCCCAGCTAATTTTTTAATTGTATGTAGAGACAAGGTCTCACTATGTTGCCCAGGCTGGTCTTGAACACCTGAGGTCAAGCAATCCTCCTGCCTGGGCCTCTCAATGTGCTGGGATTACAGGCAAGAGACATCAGGCCCAGCAAGGCAAATTATTTTAAAACCACCTGTAGGTTTCTAGGGATTTCCCCAAAAGCCCACCATTTCCTTCACCAAGATGGTCAGGTAAGTAGAGGGATCTGGAAAACTGGAAGATGGCAGGAGAGATGGGAGGCCCTAGATCCCATACCTAGAATCACAACCTATTACTGTCCACATCCCTTTCAACCTATCTCTAGGAGTCTCCAGCAGAAGAGAAGAGCAAAAGGGGAAGTCTTTTGCTTCTACAAAATCACCATCCCTCCCTGCCAAAGGCTATAAATAATATTCTTTGATACAATGTATATTTTTTCCAATATTATCTGAAATGCAAATGAAAGCATCCATAGAAAAGTTTACTGTCTTTATTGGCCTTCAACACACAATTTAAAAGTCCTAAGCTTGGTAAGTAAAATGCAGTTTAGGGAAAGTCCCCAAGCTAGCCCCACCCCACATCCCAATCAGACAGCCGCGCCTAAGTTCCTGTCATAGAATTCGTATAGAGCTCCAACAGTTTAAACAGTGCCTGTACTCACACTAACCTCCTTGACCAGTGCAATTTCCTCCTCTCCTTCTTCCTTTCTCCTCGCCGCAAATAGTGCTACTGTTCGACAGGAGAGAGTAAAGCCACTTAGTGTTGTTCTAGCACCCAGGACATAGATCCCAAAACCAGCATCTCTAGGTTCAGGAACCTGGTTATCAAACGTCCCTCCCCACAGTCTGAAACACCACCCCTACCAACCCCGCCGTCCAGTCTCTAAGGCCCACCATTTTCTCTGCAAACGCCACCGTGGCGCATCCCTTCCACTAAATTGAACAGGAACCGAGCGGACATGTGTGGCCAGTGATTACAGCGAATGGGCATCTCAATCTCTGTATTTCCCTCTGGCGGAGACAATCTCCCCACAAATCAAAGCCCACGGTTTGCCTGCACAGAGGTAGGCGGGGGCAGGGGCGCTCGCGAGAATCAGAGGCAAAGGTTCCTCGAACTTGAGGCAGCATAGACCACCGCCCCCGCAAGCCCCGTAACCTCTGCCGGGGTCGGTGAGCCGCTGCCGGCCTGGCCAGGGCTCCGGGGCCCCGAGGCCCTTACCTGCTCTGCTTTCCCCGGGCCCGATGCCAGCCCGCCGAGCGCAGGGCAGCGGGGAGCTGGTAGCCAGAAGCGAGTGACGACTGCACCGAAGGCTGCGTCTTTCTGCAGCTCCGGGTCACGTGAGTGCCGCGCGTCACCACTGAGCTCGCCCTCCTCCCCACCGCCACCCACCATCCCTCAAGGGCCGGGGGCCAGTCACTAGGAACCCTCCTCCCACACTCCGCACGCACAGACATCCCCTTTCTCCGGTCTGTGCGCCGTGCCCCAGTGAGCACGCCCTTGTCACTCATCTCAGTCCTCTCCAATCTGAGGGCCCACAAGTGGCATCAGCGCCTTGCGGTTGGACTTTACACATCTTCACTTACCCACTTACTGGGGAGGCTCTGCATCCCCCTACCCACTCCTAGACCTTGGCTGTGGCCTTTTCTGCTTTTTCTTTGAGGAATCCTTTCTTTCTCTCTTAGGCTATAAGACCAGCACTCCCCACGCTCCCCCTAAACGACCTGCCCTCTCTAATCATAATGCCTGCACCAAATGGGCCGTGGAAGGGGGTATCAAGAAGGAAAGCAGAAAGTGCAAATAGAGCTTTAACTTTCTTTTTTGTGTTCCTTTTTTTTCTTTTAATATGACATTCTTTTCTAATTTTGTCATCGGAAAAATACAGTATAGCCATTTTCACTTGACACAAAAAAAATTCAAGGTATAAAAATAACAAAAAAAAATCTCATTCATTGGTTTACATTATTTTGTGCCACATTTTAAAAATGTTTTCTAGTCACTGTAAACTATTTCACTGCTTTCAAAACAGACTAGTAATTCTTGACATTTTAAATACAAAACTGTCCTAAACAAAACCAGTACGGTTTCAATATGATCTATAAATTAACCTTTGGAAAGACATTTCGTATTCTAATCTTGACAATTTTACACAAGTGATTTGTAATTTTTGAGGTTCTAACTGAACTTAGCATCTTTTTTCAGGTGTCTGAGACCTTCTTCAGAGAAGACTCCTAGAGGATTTATTTAAGACCCAACTCCTGATGAACCTAGTGCTTTACTAGTGACTTCCCAAATTAACCTGTTTTCCATTTGAGGGGCTTTATTTGGATTTTACATAAGTATGTAATCAGATCAGCCTCACCACACCCATGGAAAGACCAACTACTGGTGCATGGATGGAAAGAAGGCTTAACAGGTGGAATTTTCATTCCCTCATGACACTGTTGAGATCTCGCTGCAGAAGTTAGTCCCCATGCATCCACCTGTCCCCAATGAGGAGTCATACTCTAAATATAGACCCTCCAGGCAGCCTCTTTCTTAGAACATTGAAATATGACACCTCAGAGGGAAGGGCTCCACTATGAGGGGCCCCTATGTGGAGAAGGCCCTTTCAGCAGGCAAGCAAGGAAGTCCTAGTGCCTTGCAACCTTACTAATGGCTTTTCAGAACTCAATTGCCTGTGACAAACTTACTTTCTCCACCAAAGGAAAATATCGACAAATTAATTGCATAAAAATTTTAAACTTTGGTAAAGTAAAAAAAAAAAAAAAAAAAAAAAAAAAAAAAAAAAAAAACCATAAATATTGACTGTCAAAAGTAGCCTTTGTAATAATCTATATAATCTAAATTTGTAATAATCTAAAAGCTCTTACAGATCATTTGTAAAATGGTTATCATTAATAAAATGTTTATCATTAGTAAAATGATAAACAACCCATAGAAAAATGTGCCAAAAGACATGAACAGATTTGTTCACAGGAAAGAAATACAAATTACTAATAAACATATGAAACGTATGAAAAGATGCTCAACCTCAAAGAAACACAAATCAAAACAATTATGCCTTATCATGTTTGAAGTATGATTTTCTCAAAGTTTAGAAACTTGATCATATTTTTGACTTGCTTGTCAGGAAATGGGCACTCCTCAGATATTGATGCAGCCTTTTTATATAGGGCAATTTGGCAAACTCTATTTTTTTTTTTATTTTTGAGATGGAGTCTCACTCTGTCACCCCAGGGGCAGTGCAATGGCGCAGTCTTGACTCACTGCAACCTCCGCCTCCCAGGTTCAAGCGATTCTCCTGCCTCAGCCTCCTGAGTAGCTGAGATTACATGTGTGTGCCACCACGCCCGGCTAATTTTTGTATTTTTAGTAGAGACGGGGTTTCAACATGTTGGTCAGGCTGGTCTTGAACTCCTGACCTCGTGATCCACCCACCTCAGCCTCCCAAAGTGCTGATATTACAGGCATGAGCCACTGCGCCCGGCCTGGCAAACTCTATTAAATGATAACTATAATATTTCACAAATTATTTGACCCAATGATTCTATTCCTTGGAATTTAGCCAACCTGTATACCTACACAGTTTCACAAACATATATACTTTTTAGGGTTTTTTTTTTTTTTTGGTTGTAAGGTTTAAAAAAACTGATGCTGTACAGTGCAATGGCTCACGTCTGTAATCCCAGCACTTTGGGAGGCCGAGGCAAGTGGATCATGAGGTCAGGAGTTCAAGACCAGCTTGGCCAAGATGGT